TAATAATCAGCTGAGAAGGGAAGAGAGGAACAGCATGTTGCGAGAAAATATGCGGAGAGCGTAAGTGCCCGAAAGTATATAGATATATTTGAAAGGGAGGTGCGCTGGCGTAGAACCCAGCCGAGAAGAAATGAGGGGGAACAAAGAATGTCATGAAATAATATACGGAATGCGCAACGACCAAAATATATATGTGTGTGATAGAAAAGACGCACCGAGGACTGATCGCAACGATCAAAGTTGAACAGTAGAGACTGCCAAAGTGTCAGCATGTCCCGACAATAAGGATCGATCAGATGGTTGACATCGGGGGACGAACCTAGATCTTAAACGATTACGGGTGATAAACCTGGTATAGGTTTTCACATGGCAGGTTTGTGTTCAACTGATCATTCTTTGGAGCTTGATCGGTGAACTGATCGGAATGATTGAAAATCCATCACTGCTGCCTGATCAGCTTGTGCCACTGAGGTGAATTGGATCATACGGGTGGACATACTTAGATAATTAGGGATTATGAGTGAAATACCTAGTGTTGGTTTCCACCTGGAAACGTTTGTGTTCCACTGAACAAGCGTTGAGGCTCGACCAGTGTACTGATTAAAACCAAGTTGGAGTGAGAACACTACTGCACACTGAGCATGTTCTACGGAGAAGACGTAGATGAGGATCAAAGATGAACGAGCAGACCGAAAATATTGAGAAGGATGGGTGAGAAACCTGGTGAAGGTTTTCACGTGGTAAGATCGTGTTCTACTGATCAAGCTTTGAAGCTTGACTGGGGTACTGATGAGAAATGATTGAAAATCAATCACTGCTGTCTGGTCAGCATGTGCCACTGTTACAACGTGCTGAACTGTCCAGCGATTTGCGTAGACCCGTGAACTGAAGGAACCGTGCGACCCAGCGATGGAGTACCGATCCCGAGGTGTCCGACTGCAGTACCCGGAAGTGACACGGCCAACAACGGTAAAGATTGTAGCGACACGCGGACCCGCACTATCCCCGGAACCCGACCAGGAAGAAAGAGGGAGGCAGGCCTTCCGGCGAGGTTGTATATTTGGCTCGACCCGAAAAGGTGATGAGAATGGACAGCTCATCCTTTTATGTACCAACTGGGGACCGGCCAGCGGTGACCTTGTAAATTAGCTCGAAAGTGATGAGTCGGAGGAAAATGGACCAATCAGAGTCGAGGATGGCCGGTGATGCGGAATGAGTCTTCCTCGGCGCGGGAATTGGGAAATTTAAATTTTATAAAAATTAATTGAAGACAATAGGAAATATAGGGGGAAGTCAATTTTCGTGTGGAAAATAGGGTTTATACATCACCTCCCCTTTTTTGGAGTGTTTGGCTTCACGGGAGTGTCGAATTGAAAGTTCTCATCGGCTGGTCGCGGTCGGACCAGTTATCGATGGCGGACCCAGGTGTCGCCGTCGACGTTGAACTCGGGCGGATCGGGAGGACGGTAGTTGGAGATGGAACCTTCCGTGGAATTGGATGGGACGTCCCGTTGATTGCGATTGTTAGTGTCGGTGTCGTTGTCCTTCTCTCTCCCACGGAAGAGACGATTGCGAGTGGACGGTGTAGATTTGTCCGGGGTTTGACGGCTGGCAGGCTTTTGGTGAACCGTTGGCGCCTTTAAGTCGCGGCAAACACCGTTGATCGACAGCTCGGCCAGTCCGAGCTCCTCGATCCAATCGAAATCAAGAAGGTTGAGACCGGAACGGTTCACACAGCAGGTGGATTGGATCGTGGTTTGTGGACACGACACATAGCAGCGTAGTTGCCCGGTTAACTGTACGGCAGCTGGTTGCAGACAACGACGAGAGTTGGACGGGTGGCGAACCCAGTGCTCGCCAGGTGTCTTCCGAGATCATGGTTACATCGGAGACGATATCCAATTGTAGCCGTGTTGGACAGTCATTGATGTTGACGGTGACGTATCTTCGGCGGTCAANCGATTGATGCTCAACGATGTCTTTAGACCGTAAGAGTGAACGGCAGAGTCACTCTTGTGTTGGCAAAACCTATCTTTGTGTCCAACTATGTGGCACTGCCGGCAACGGTGCTGTCGGAACGGACAGTGTCGGTGGACGTACCAAGCTCCACAATGAAGCTCGACCAGTGTGCCGATCAGAAACAAGTTGGAGTGTGAACACTGCTGGATATTGAGCATGTGCCACAGAGTTGAGTTAGATGAGGGTTAAAGATGAAAGAACTGACCAAAAACGTTGAGAGGTATGGGTGACCATCCTGGTGTAGGTTCTCACCTGAAGAAGTTTGTGTTCCACTAATCAAGCACCGAAGCTCACCCAGTGAACTGATAATAAATGGATTGTAAAGTGGTCACGGCTGCCTGTTCAGCATATTCCATTGAGATGAAACAGTGTGCTGATGGCACTTGAGTTTGGAAATTTAACACTAATACCAGGTTAATATGTTCCACCTAGTTGATTATTTTGAGTCAAATGAAAAATTAGGTGAGCACGCATCAATTTAGGAATAATTAATCATATTGCGTTCTAAGTGAGGTACAGAATATTTTGCAAACTGCGATCTTTTGCCGACGTTCAGTAATGTAGCCCGTTTTCACAAGCTAACGATTCGTCGTGATGCTTCTGCAATTGGGCCATTTGGGATATGGTGAGAAATCGACGAATGTGATTCCTAAACGTTGGGATGGACGTTTTTCACCTAATTTCTACTGGAAGTTTATACCAGAGGCGTGAATAACAAACTAGAAAACATTTTCTTCTGGTGTTTGTTCTATCATTAGGTAGGGGGAGGACATTTACGTGATTACGAATGGGGTATGGTGGATCAACCTCAAATCGGATTACATCTACCGAACGGGCCTGCTTATTCAGGAATCCGTGGAGAAGAGTAAGGTTAAGCTTTGCAAGGCGTAACCATAGGGGGTCATCGATCCATGTAGTTTAAGTCTGAGGTCCAGCCAAGAATTTGTTTTGTAAATCTTCGCTGGACGTTCTCTATGGCTACTATATCTAGCTTTCTCATGCTGGAGTACGCCATTGACGAAAACTCCAACAAAGGCCTAGTGTGGGATGTATACCAATGGATTATGCTATCACGGAGACAAAAAGTCCTAAAGAAAAGGTTCATTGAGCGTCTGGCCTTGGCTACTTCCAAAGCACAATGCTCAGAGAAGCTAAGAGAACAGAGGTAGCTGAGTCCGAGGTCACGAATGGATGTGAAGTGGGCAATAGGAATACCGTTCATGGTCAAGGAACCCGGAGGTACTGACATCGAAAAGACAATATGCTACTTTGTTTGCCGAGAAAGTCATCGACCACAAAGAACACCAACGATCAAGGGCGAGAAGGTCTGACCGAATGTCGTCTAGGACGTTTATTAGCTTATTTGGTGAGAAAGAGTAAACCACTTTAATGTCATCGGCGAAAAGAAAGGGGGTTCCATGATGTCATTAATATACATAAGGAACAATAAGGGGCCTACTACGCTACCTTGGATCACACCTTTTTTAACAGGTTTTAGGTTGGAAGAAGCATTTTCTATCGAAACCACCTGAGAGCGGTCTGAAAGGTAAGAACAAAGCCATAAGAGGAATGGGTTGCCTATCCCATAAGTTTTGGCTTTGGTAATAAGCCGTGGGTGCGAAACTCTGTCAAAAGCTTTGGTCATATCCAGGTATATGATTATAAAAGCTTTATTGGAATCCACTGATCTACTAAGAAAGTCTAAAAGGTCAAATTGGCACGTTTGGCAAGAGCGAAATTTAAGAAAGCCATGTTGGCTCTTGCTAAGGAGGTTCTCATTGAGCAGGTGGTCAGAAAGTTGCCTTTTAACAATTTTTTGATTATTCTGGAATTGATAGGAAGATGGTAATTGGGCGTTAGTTGGATGGATCATGGTTGGGACCCGATTTGTGAAGTGGGATGATGGTAGATTGTTTCCCTTGAGACGGTACAATGCCACCGATCAAAGAGAGGGAAAAAGGTTTTAACAAGATGACGGGTATGTCAGGTCCTCCAAAGTAAATGGCACTAACGGTAGTCCATGTGGTCCAGGGTGAGAGGAGGGCTTGGTTGCAGTGAGAAGACTGGCAATGTCGCCGGCTGTAAAGCAGATGACATTAGAAGAAATGGTTATGGACATAGACAAATTGGCAGGGGTGGAAATGGAGCCCCTGGTGAAAGGAGAGGTGGATACGGAGTTTCGGGCTTCACATATTCCCTGTGGGGAGGTGATGGCAACGTAATCAGGAAGATTGAAGTGAGAAATAGAGTGAATATTGATTCTGTTTCTCGTTCTCGCTTGGAGATTTTCCGAACTAGGTTAAGATGTTTAGTGACTCAATGGTTGCTGATATTCGTCAGAACCTGTCAGTAATGTTTACTCACGTCCGTTTTGAATATTCGTCCCAAATGGAAACAGAACCAGAGTTTGCGTTTATTGAAAGCAATATATTCTGAGATCTTCAGA